GCTCAGTTTAATGAAGGAAAATGAGTCACAGGAGATCTGGGCAGGAATGACTCATAGTTCCACCAGCAGCCTTCTCTCCATTGTAAACTACTTTCCATCATTGTAGTCAGCAAGAAGCTAAAAGAATGTTGATGTTTCTTTCCTGAATGGTTAACTTCCTGAGTTCAGACAGACGGAAATTGTGGGCAACAGGAAGTCGACATTTCTAAGGTAAGGGACCAATTACACAGAAAGCTAGCAGGCAGTCGGGTTTCTCATTAGCCTTTCAGAAATCGAGTGTGGCATTATCCTGAGAGGAGTCAGAGGCCCATTCTATAGGAAAAATCTCATGAGTCCAAAGGGCCTTCTGATATCCTAACAATGGAAAGGGAAAGCTCCTCTTGAGATAAACATCACACATACTGAACAATGTTACCACATATCGGGAATGATGTTTCCACAAAGTTCTCAAGTGATTTCTGAGTTTGTCATGGGAACAGTTTCTCTTTTCCATGGCTTAATCTTGGAGTGGAGATGCTGGTGATACAGTTATACGTGTTATTATTAGGGAGAAAAAGAAAAATGTCAGTTTTCAAAAGAAGAATTTTCAAATATAGAGACAATGAGCAGTTGTAGACATCGACAGGACAACCTAGCAATAAGATTCTGCCAGCTCAGCTATGAGAGGAGCCTGATGAAGAAGGACGTTGGACCATGATCATTCACAAATTACATACAACTCTTACAGGAACAAAAGCAACATACATGAGAATATTCAGATCCCATGTGTATGGGAAACAAAAGAAATATGCAAGAAAATACATCCTCTCAGTGTCAATATTTATAAGCTTGGAAATAGGACTAAGAGATAGATTATTTTGGAAAATACCACATTTCTATTGCTCTTGGCTTCCGTCTGATATCAGCCATACAAAGAACATCCTCCTTCATCCTCCTTCAGGGAGGAATGTTTAGAACTCAGATTAGAACATAAGGTTCAAAGAATGTCACACAACCAAATTACAGATAAATGCAGTAGAACTTTCTCTAAGTTTTTCTTTAGAGACTTTCAAAACATACCTTGGATTTTCCAAATATGAAGCTAGGGCAATGATGAGCAAAACAAAGATGGCCCTTATACTAAAAATGCTTCAGGGGTAGTAGAGGATAGCAACAAGTAAAAAGGTATTTACTATACATTATGGTGAGAGCTATGATAGGAACCACAAGGGAAGGACATAGGAAGAGATGCAACCCACACTTGACCTCTCGGGAAGCTTCTTGGGTTAGTAAGGATTCTTCAGAGAAACAGAACCAGCCTGGGTGTGCATGCATGGGTGTGTGAGTGTGTGTACTTATACTTATTTTAAGGAATTGGCTTACATATTTATAGAGGTTGGGCAAATCTTAAATCTGATGGGATAAGCTAGTCAACCAGAATCTCAGGGAAGAGTTATAATTTGAGCCCAAAAGCTGTCTCCTGGCAGAATTACTTCATGAATAGAAGAGATCTCCGTTCTATTCAGCCTTTCAATTGATTACCTCCATGTTATGGAGGGTGATCTGTTTTAGTTACACTTCACCCATTTAAATATTAGTCTCATCTACTAAACACCTTAACAGAATTATACAGAACGATGTTTGAACAAAGATCTGGACTCCGAGGCCCAACCAACTTGGCCCATAAAACTCACCATTGCACTTTCTAAATATGTGATCTATATGGTGAGACAAGAAGGATGAGTAAGAGTCCATCGGACAAAGGCAGAATGGGTGAAGAGGGAGAGGGGCTGAGCAGAGTGAAGAGTGTATGCAAGAGCCAGAGTAGGGAGAAAGCTAGAGCAAATGTGGTACTTCCATGTCTAGGAGAGCAAGGGTTTTGGTGCACTTTGGTCTCTAGTATATCCTCAGCACAGACAACAGTGCCTGGTTGCTATATGGTCAGTGCTCAATGAGTATTTGTGGAATGGGCCCTATTGAAAGGGTTGAAAATAAGCCATATTAGAGGGTTTGGATACAACCTAAAGGCAAGGGGAAGTCACTGGTCAGATTTCCAAGAGAAGTGACTCTTTAGAGAGTAACCGTTCAGGCATGCGTTTTTAGAAACTCCATGGCTATCATATAAGCAATAGACAAGTTGGAGGAAAGGCAGGACATGTGGAAGGAAAAGAAGTAAATAATTTTTGGAATACTCTAGACAAGAAGGAAATTTTAGACCAATTTAGAAGTAATTGGAATATAGTTTAAAGATATTTAGAAAATGGAATTAACAGATATTTATGTATTTATTAGATTAACAAAGTATTAAGGCAGTTAGATAAATGGAGAAGCTGTATCATACTTGTTCTTAAAAACAAAAATTTTAATGCCATCCTCTCAGCCATAAAATAATAAATAAAAAACAAAAATTTTCATGTCATCCTCTCAACCATAAAATAATAAATATAATTAAAGGGAAGAAAGAGGAAGAAAGTAACTATTTAAGCATTGATGGCATTTCAATGATGGCATTGATGGTGTTCACCATTTTCCATAAAATAAGTGCCCTGCAGTCACTTTGAGTAGGAGATACGAATCTGCTCTTTCTTGGATCAATCTCTATACATACATACCTCTCAGTGAGTCAATATTTCACCAAGCTTAGTGATCTTTTGTACAGTAGGATAAAGTACTTTGTCCAATACCCCAACAGTGAAATATGCAAGTGTTGGATAGAAAAAAAATTAGCTGGATTTGCATGCAAGTTTCCATCACATAATCTCCGGTGGAATTTCCAAGGGTAATATTGAAAATAGGCCACTCATGACCTGTGAGTTGTACTTAGAACCTAACATACCTGGGAGATGCAATTGCACTGAACAAACATAGACTAAAGATCCAGACATAAGCTTGGAAACAAAAAATAGCTGTATGCATAAGAGTGCATCTGAAGAAAACCAACATTTAAAGGATGGATGGAGGAAGGAAACCACAAAGGACCCTGAGAAGGGAAGATGAGGAGATATGAGGCAAACCAATAAGCTGTGGTGATGCCCAAGCAGACAGAAGAGAGGATGTCAAAGGGAAGAGTGATCCTCATTATCAAATGCTGCTAAGAAGATAAATAAGGTAAGGACTAAAAAGCCTCCATTGACTACAACAATAAGATGACCATGACCACCTTGGGGACAACAGGATAGGTAATATGATGTGATTGCCAGACAGATTCCAGAGCACTAAAAGATGTTACAGCAGAGAGTTAATATAGATAATAGTACAAAATAGCTATGTCTCTATAATTATTTATGGAATAATTTAAATAATATCTGTTAATATTTTCCCCTACTGGATGGTAAGCTTCATCAAGGAAGGGATCACATGTTTATTTTCTCAAATTTTTCATTGTGATAGGACTCAAAAAACATTAAGCATTTAAAGTATACAATTCAGTAGCATTTAGTACAATCACAATGTTGTATAACTGCCACATCAATCTAGTTTCAAAATATTCTAATCACCTTTAAAGGAAATCTCAAATCTATTAATAAGTTACTCTCCATTGCTTCCTCCCTCTAGCCTTCACCCCTTCCCCTGCTTCTGCTCTCTTTCTGCTGGGTTTACCTATTCTGAATACATCATATCAATTCAGTTATAAAATATGTAGTCTTTTGTGCCTGGCTTCTTTCATTTAGCATGCTTTCAAGGTTCACCGGATTGAAGCACATATCAGTATTTAATTAATTTTATGGCTAATTTCTATTATATGGATATACAACGTTTGTTTACTAATTAATCAGTTAAAATGGACATTTGGTTTGTTTTCATCTTTTAGCTATTGTAAACAGACCCTCAGGTCAACATTTGTGTTCAGATATTTGAGTACCGGTTTTAAATTCTGTGGGGTGGAATTTCTGGGTAATATGGTAATTCTATCCTCAAATTTGTCAGGAACTACTAAACTGTTTTCCATAGCACCTGCATATTTTACATTCCCACCAACAATGTATGAGGTGCCACTTTTCCCCCACTCTCACCAGCATTTTATATTTTTCAAAAAATTATACTATCTTAAAAGTAGATGTGAAGGGACAGTTCATTGTGGTTTTGATTTGCATCTTCCTGATGACTAATTATGTTACATATATTTTCACAAGGTTTTTGGCCACTTGTATATCTTCTTTGGAAAAAATATCCATCCAAATCTTTTTCTCATTTTTTGATTGGGTTGTTTGCTTTTTTGTAACTGAGTAGCAAGAGTACTCTGGACTCTAAACTCTTTATATGTACATATATATATACACACACACACATGTATATGTGTATATATATACAAGTGATCACAATATTTATTCCATTCTGTCACATCTGTTTCTTCATACAATTACAATTACATTCCCAGGACCTAGCACAATGCCTGGCAATAAATATGAATGAGGAGAAAAGATTAGGGATGTGAAGAATTTGTAGAAGGTTTAAAATAACAAACTCAAATTTATCATCAAATGCTCAGCATAGCATTATATTTTGTTTATCTGCAAGTCACAATATAGGAACTAGGCTTAGTAGGCCACATACTGGTCTAATCTTTTAGAATGCTTTGTTTACTTTTAAATATTTTTATTGATAACCTTTTGACAATATAAAATTCTAAACAGTGAAATCTGAGCACTGAAATACATTAAGAATGGAGCTTCAAGTGGAGTTGATAAGGACCAGCATGCTGTAATGGTGATTTTTTTTTTTTTTGCTGGTATGACAGTAGTAATATGGCCTTGCATTTGCTAATAGAATTTTTTTTTATTTTCAAAGTGCTTTTTAATCATTAATTAATACTCATTTTATCATTTTTAGATCTTTCACCACATTGCTGCTATTACTGGTAATAAAATTAGGGCAGGAAATACAAACACACACACACACACACACACACACACACACACAAAAGACTCCTTCTTCTTCTTTATAAGAACAGCAAGATATAAATGCATTTTTATTTCATCATCAACGTATATCTATTTTTAATCTTTTCATTTCCTAGGGGCTGTTCTTTCCAAGACTCAAACTACTAAAGTTAACCAGTAAAACTAGAGAGAAAAGTAAAAATGGAACAGAGAACCAAATGTCCTTCTCTTTCTTCTCTCTTTCTCTCAACTCCATTTTTGGATGGCAAATAGATTTAAGAAAGAAGGTGCTTTAATAATATAAAGGGGAGTATGGATTAAAAGGCAAGAAAGAACAGTAGTTAGGGGAAAGGGAGCAAATTGAAAAATGTGTCTATAAGAGGAATTAACCATAAAACTGAGTCAGGATCTGAAGGAGATCTTCACCTCTAGAGTGACAGGAGAAACCATGCTGTGAATGGAACTATGCCCCAAGTGCCCCACCCCAATTCATGTGTTGAAGCTCTAATCCAGCAGCTCAAAGCCTAACTATACTTGGAGATAGAACATTCAAAGGTTTAACTAAGGGCCACATGTGGAAGCACATGCCTGTCATCCCAGCAACTTGGGAGTCTAAGTCAGAGAATCACAAATTCAAAGCCACCTTAGGCAACTAACAAGACCCTGTTACAAAATTTTTTAGAAGCGGGGAGGAGGGGATAGGGATTTTACTCAGTGGAAAAGCATTCCTGAGTTTAACCCCCAGTACAAAAACAAAAAGTTAATCAAGGCTAAGTGAGGCCATAGAGGTGCGCCCTAATTCAAGATGACTGGTTTCCATACAAGAAGCAGAGATTATAATGCAGATATGCACAGAAGGAAGACCACATAAAGAAAACTAAAGAAGACAGCCATCTACAAGACGAGAAGATTGGCCCTAAGAAGAAACCAACCCTGCTAACACCTTCATCTTGAAATTCCAGCCTCTGGAAATGTGAGGAAATACAGTTTTATTATTTTGGTTGGTGGTGCTTTTTTTTTTTTGTGACGGCCCTAGCAAACTAATAACACTTTACACACAGTGATAAGATTGCCTTATTATTACAACAAAAAAATCCCTTCCAAATAAATTCCAGTAAACATCTATAACAAGTCCTCTACATTAGCTTTTTCCAGGTTGATTCATGTAATGGACCATTGATTTATTTTTCTAACTATACTGAATCCTCAAGTTAGATCCAAGCTGAGTTTTTCATAGAAAGAATAAAACAAGAATTGAATTAGTTTAAGCCCATTGGATTTGCAGGAATAAGTTTAACTAGCACTTAAGTGTCTTAAAACAATAATGAAGCTTTTCCCATGTTTTGTTCCAAACTCTCAGGGCTATTTATGAGAAGCAAAGGGACCCAGCTGTCTTTGATGGGCATTTCTGTACATTCGTGAATGTGTGTGTGATGTTTTCTATTTTACAAAGTACTAATGAACCATTATCCCACTTGATATTCATACCCACACCAACACTGAGATGAACCAAGGCAGAAGATGTATCTTTTTATTTAATGATGAGGAAACTAAAACTCAGAGTAGTTGCTTGTTCAATATCACACAGCTAGGAGGATCATCATGGAAGAGACCCTGCCGTATGCTGACCAAACCAATTTTCTTTTCCTCTTAGACCAGATGCAGTCTGGTCTTACTGGCCAAATCCAGCCTGTGCCCATTGTGGTAAAGTCTTGTGGGAATACACTCATATCAATTCATTTTCATCTTGCCAGAGACTACTCCCCTGCTTCAGCAACAGAGCTGAGTGGTTGAAACAGACAGAAACTGACCACATAGCCTGGAAAGGCTGAATAATTTACTATTTAATCCTTTATGGAAAAAGCACGGGTCATTGTCCTAGATTCAACTACACAGCACTTTCCTAAAACTTCCTTTATAACCTAGGAGCCCTCTTTTCTCTCCTCTGAGGCTAAGTGCAGAAGACCCTGTGGAGGAATGTAAGACCTTAACAGAAAGCAGCCACTTGATGGAACTCAGTGTAGACGGCAGGGGGCAGAGTCCCAGAGCTACACAGCAACTGGCCTAGGCGCTGCATGAGAAATAAACCTTAATTGTATTAAGTCTCTGAGGTTTGAGGGTTTTAGCAGTTCATCCTAAAACAATAGCAGAAATCTGCATCTTTTTAGTCAAAATCCAGAGTTGTTCTTCCTGTTAAACTGGACAAAGTAGTTATCAACTAAAAAGAGTAAGGAACCAAGAACAGAGCCCGAGCCCAGAATGTCATTACACTGGCTCTCAGAACAAGTGGCCTTAGAGCAGGGGTGGCAGGTAGGTTTTATCTCCCCTTCCTATTCTGCCAGTGGGCAGTGGATGGCTTAACTGCTGTGCTGACCAAGGGTCTGAAGGCCACCTCTGGGGTCCAATGGAAGCCGTGGCAGCCGTTACCAACACCTACTCAGGAGCGAGGAGTGGATTCTGCCCTCCACACCTCTGAGAGCTGAACCATCAGATACACAGCTATTGTTAACAAAAGTAAAAGCCTGTAGTAAGCACCAATATCAAATGATTTGGCATGGTGGGGGTAGAAGTGGGACAAAGGAGATGTTTCACTGAGAACATTAAAATATTTAAATATAAAAAAATGTAAAACCACATACAATGAATTTTACCACATAATCAATGCTAGGCTTCATACCAGAAATTTGGTCACATCTTTCTTTCATAAAGAATAACAAGTACCTTTCAAGATATTCAATTCACCAAAGCCACTTATTTTTTTTTTACACAGGGACATCTCAACCAGCTTTCCTTGTAAATAGAAAGGCTTATTGTTGTTATTTTTATTTTTATAATTTACTCTCCTAAGTTTTTCTTCATTTAGTTGGAAAAATCTAGGAAGAGAAATTCTCGAGGAAAAAAAAAAAACCAATCCATTTGATCTGGAATAATACAGAGTTGAAAAAAAGAAAACAAACGATGTATATGTCTTCTGCAACTTGTAGTTAGTGTGCAAACCAAGGAACTCAAAACTCTGCTCAAGTCTTCTGGTTTTTTTCCAGCTTTCTTCCCTGAATGACCACGACATCCTCAAAAATACAGTCTGTTCTGAAGTTTCACTCTGTCTTTCGTGAGTATTTGCTTTTAAGACAATTACACTGAGTAGAAATGGGATCAGAATATACTAGTTTTTCCCTGCCCTCCCTTCCCTTATTTTGGTAACACCATTGTAGGTCACTCTTCATTGCTGAAAAAATTTCCATCCTCTTTTCTACTATATCATTTTTATGTATTTATTAGGTTGCTTACAGGTACTGCAGCACCAGGAAAAGGTTTGTGAACCATTCGGTAAGTGGTTCCTGCTTGAATGAATTACCCAGCTTTCATGAACAGCCATGCAGAAGCAAAGCAGGCAGAAAAAATAATGAAGACATTCGTACCATAGCACTCTCTCCAGCTATGAGCTTCCTACAACCATGCAATTTCCCCACGAGGGAAGACAAGATTGCACTGTCATTAGAATAGGTAATCATTAGATTTATCTTTTATATAATTTGTAGCATCTTAAACTATTCTATGTAGTCTCATTACTGCCAAGAGTCCTCTTTAACTGAGATGATAAGTAAATAAAGTAGAAATTACACACCAACAAGAATCTGGAATATGTTGTTTTAGTGTATGTCTGAGAGCTCCCTTCAGCAAACCTAATCTGCACAGCATTTACCATTATTTCTACCTCAATGAGCATCTCCTAATTGCTGTGTTATTGCTTGTGAAGAAAATATATTATTAAAGTCCACAACTCATGACTTGTTGCACATCTACCCACAAAAAAACTTTCATCATCTTTTAATCATTCCAAATTGGATGATCAGCAGAAGGATTTTTCTCCTCCTCTCCTGAATACCCCCGTTCATTACCGTTACCTAATGTCAATGTATGCTTCTAGCAGTCGAGATGCATTCATAATTTATTCAGAGACCTGAAGATTTTATTAAACCAAATCTATTTAATTCTCCATGAATCGGCTCAAGATGATTTGGGTAGCTTTTTGTAATGAACAACAATTAGAAACTCCAAGGACTCAGAACCTGCATTTAGTTGTTAATGTTTTATGCTCTGCCGTTGGTCTGCTGCCAGATAATGATCCACAGAGCATTAAAATTTTGTATTAATATTATCTTTACAAATGCAATATTGCTCAGTGGAAGATGAGCTTTCCATAGGCTTCTTCTGTGTTAGGTGGTTGTTAACTTTTTAAATATTAGATAGATTTTTGAGGCTGAGAATTAAAACCTCACAACCTTCATTCTTCTTTCTCATTGGACAATCTAGAATGGGTCAGTCATGTTGGTCAAGGCGAATCAACACAGCCTTGTGGTCTGAGTGAATTTAAGAAGGGCAAGCAATTTGAAAAACAGAATGGATTTCATCCTTCATTAATCAAATAATACCTTCCTTAATGACTGAAACAGTCTGGGCCATGGACCATACCAAAGTATTGATCAATAATATGGATTGATAGATTCTTCCAGGAGGGGTGAGTTAGTATAGTTTTTCTCATTTGTAGCAGGTATTTAGAATGATGGTCTTTAAAAGTCAGTAGACTTATTCTCACACATCTAATTCCAACAAGTATTGTCATACACAATGATGCTTTCATCAAAGATGGACCATATATATAAAAGCGTTCCCATAAAATTATAATATATGGGGACTCCACAGCAGTCTTAGTTTGTATAAGTGCATTTACAAATTTCACACAATAACAAAATCAACTACCGATGCGTTTCCCTGAACTTCTTACTGTTGTTAAGCAACATGTATGGTATTTGTTCTTTCTAGAACCCCTGAGGTCATTCTAATGACCTGTTTAAACTCAAATAAACTTAAAATAGTTTATAAATTGAAAGGCATAGGTAACCAAAGTTGCCTTTGACTACAGGTTCTACTTTGGAAAGGCTATACCTACTGTGGTAAAAGACTAGGCTGTACTGATTTGAATAATTGCACTGACTGTATTTAGGTGATGAGGTTGGTCATATTAGCTAAGTCATCCAGTACAGTTATCCAAGTTAGTGGCCCATTCTTGTCCCAAAGATTTCAAAGGAATGGATCCCTTCCATTTTCCATGAGCTTCTGGATAACTCTGGCTTAGAAATGGGTGGTGGACACATGCCAACATTTACCTACCAAGAACCTGGTCAAGCCAGGTTGGCTTTTTTCCAAAAATTTAAGTTCTTTAAAAGTAACTCCAACTTTTGAGAAGAAGATCACTCCAGGTTAGAAAAGCAAGGGTGGAAGCCCTGCAGCCTTTCCTGTGTTCTCTCTTGCTTTAGTATCTTACCTTAAGCTTTTTCCAAATGTCACAAAAAGAGACAAATACAAGGACTCTGAATTTTCCACATATAGAATATTGAAGACATCTTGTATATCGATAGAGCGTATGGAGGTTAAAAGGATAAGATTTGTAATCAGCTTACCAGATTCAGAGTCTGGTTCAACCGTGTACCGGTTGGATGACCTTGTGCCATATTTGGCTTCAGTGTCCTCATCTGCTGCGGAATGAGCATAGCCATAATTCCTATGTCCTAGACTTCTTGAGGGGATTAAATGTGTTATCGCAATAAGACCCTTAAAAGAGTACCTAGTAAGAAAGAAGTGCTCCGTAAATGGTGCTCCTTGTTCATTCAATGGACAGACACTCATTGGCTGTCCACTATATTTTAGATACTGTTGAGGTCCTGAAGATTTAGAAAAATCGACAAAACACCTGTCTTCTTTGATTCATTTTAAAAATAGGCAAATGATAAGCAAACTACATAGCATAAAATTGACATCTTATAAAATGGCTTCAGTGCCATGAAAATAGATTAAAATGGTAGAAATATGACAAATGTTGAAGTTTAATTTTGAATATGGAGAGAAAAGGCCTTAGTGAGAAAATAATTTTTACTGCAATCCTGATGGAGATAAAGGAGTGAATCAAAAAGGATCCTCAGAGGAAGATGGATTTGTACCAAGGAAATGGCAAGTGCAAAAGCCCGGAGGCAGAGCATGCTTGATGTGTTCTAGAAATAGTGCAATAAATGTTAGCTGTAGTGTCTTAGATATGTTTACACTCTTAAGTCTTTTTAAGAGAAAAGACCAGTCCTATTATTTCTTTTCACCTCTCATTAGGCTTGGCTCAATACCAGGTAGAGAGCAGAAGAGTATTACTTATAATAAATTGCTGACTCTGCCTCATGACAGAGTGACACTATTTGTTTTTAAAAGTTCTACCTCAGACCTACAGAATTTTTGAGGTTATGTCCCTGGACTCTGCATTATAATAAGTGCTTCAGGTATTATTGGTAAAAAAAAAAAATGTTATTCTAATTGATTTCTTTTTATTTCTACACAGATATGTGAGTCTGCATTACTCCAGTCCAGCCTTGCAGCTGCCCTTATAGACAGATGAACTTGGAATCTACTTTGGAGAGAGATGCAGCATTTGATAAAAGCCAGAAAGCATGCTGGCATACATTTACATTGGATGAAATACCAATTCCATTTAGCTACAGTATGAAATGCTTCTTTTATTTGCATGGGAGATCAACCATATAAGGCATAATAACTTCTTTCAAAAGTTCATTGCTAGTCCCATACTAGCTTCTCCCAGCAGGGATGGCTGGCAGCTCTTCATGCAGTAAGTGGAAAGCCATAGTCTGTCAAAGCATCAAGCACTAATGAAATAAACAAAAACTTTCCTTACCTGAGGCAGGTGCCAAAGCCTGCTACTCTAAGTGCCCCCACTGGACACAATTTAGATTTGCTTTCAAATGTTAAAAACAAATAGGTTCTCCTAAGTGCAATTAAAACTAAGCCACATGTCGAATCTATTGATACTGATGGAGCTATTTGGATTCCAAGGTTCTTAAGAACTGTTCCTAAGAATATCACATAATTTGGTAATTATTGTTTTATGCTAATATATGACAAGGAATTTCAAAAAAACAGTCATGAGCTTCCTAGACTTTTTTAATAATCTTGAATCAATAGTATTTCTCCAAAGAACAAAGTAGTTACCATGCCATTATAGCGCAGTATGATTTAATTTAAATGATTAAATATACTGTTTTAATAAGATGTATTTCCACATTAGAAATACTTTACATCCCCTTATGTTCATTAGCTCCCTCTCCCTACCCAGGAATAAAGGCCTAATTCCCAATCATGACAATTATTTTACTATTTCTTTTGACTTTAGGGTTGTATGGGAGAGGTTTTATTCTGCTTAGTTATTCAGGACAATTTGAAAAGGTCCCCTACTCACAAATACCTACAGTTCTTATGATAAAAAGTTTACATTGTGGGAAAATTTTTATGGCAGGATAAAAGAAGATACTGATAGTAAGTATGCCAGGACAATAGGCTTAACCCAAAATTGTCTCCATTAAACCAGAAAGTATAGTCATTCTACCTATAGGCATCCTAAAGAAATAAACATCAAAATAGTAAATTCAGAAATGTTTTCACAATATTGCTCATAATATCTGAAAAAGGCCAATTATGTATTCCAGGCCCACATTAGGACCCATGATTAGAAGAGAAGATGAAAGTCCATTAATCTTGTCAAGAGGGAACCTAGTCTATGGGATGAGGCACTTTAACATGGTGGAACATGGTAGAAGACAATTGGCAATCAAAAAGCATACAAAATCATCAGGTTCCTAAGCCTAACAAAGAATGGTTAAAAGAATGCTTAGGAACAGTGGCCCATGAACAAGAGAGAAGAAAAAACATAAGACAGATTTTATCTACTGTCTCTTTCCCCAAATGGATAAACTCCAGGTATTTTCCATATTTTTCCCCTGGTCTTTCACCTCAACATTTTCGCTTTCCACCCAGTCTCCTCATTCTCTCTTAGGTTCCCAAATCCTAAGTAATTGCTGCAGATAACATCACTCAAACCCAGATATGACAAATACCTTTGCTCCCAAACCCAGGATGGACCATTGAGCAGAATGAGCCTCATAATCATTCTCAACACACAATTCAAGCAGCCACTAATGATTTATTATTATTGACTGGTGAGATGAAAATTATTTATTCATGACTTTAACACTAGCCCAAAGTAATATCATGACAAATTCTATTGTCTATGCCACCCAGTTACAGAAACCAAATATTACACTGTGTTATAAGAATGGATCATAATTTTGTTAACAAATTCCCCATGAACACAGAGTTGCTTCTAGTTTTGTTAACATTATAAGGAACTTTGCAATGGACATATTACTAAAATATCATAAAAAAATATAAAATGTATAAGATCAGATAGTTGAGACTCTTTTGCTCATTAACACAAAGCCTGGCACTTTGTAAATGCTTAATGAGGCTTTCATGATTTGCTAGCTGATAAAGGAAAAGACCTTCAAGAAACACTGCCCTCTAATAAATAACCTAATGGACAGGTCACAGATGAGAAGATAATTTTGCTTATAATGAATTATAAAATGATACAGAGAAGAAGAGGAGAACTAGGTTTAAGCTGGATCATAGATGATTAGGAATTTAACCCAATAGGAAAATATGAAGCAGGCATTCAAAATAAAACAACAGTAGGAAATAAGAAGAAAGAGGTAGAAGCACACTGGCTTTTGAAAAAAAAAATGGGATTCAGTATAGTATACATTTTGAGGTAATAATGTAAAATGTAGAAGAATAATAGTTTAAGAACTAAGTTTTGGGCTGGGGCTGGGGCTCAGAGGTAGAGCACTTGCCTCGCATGTGCAAGACCCTGGGTTTGATCCTCTACATAAAAATAAATAAGGGAAATAAAGGTATTGTGTCCGACTACAACTAAAAAAATAGATATTAAAAATAAAAACTAAGTTTTGAAAAAATCTTGTAGGCTTGCTTAGAAACTTGGACTTAACCTTAATAAAAAAGAGAGATGGACAGAGGAGGAAAGCTGCTTAGATAGAGTTATTAGGTTTCTAACATTTTTTTCTTGTGATTCAACAGGCAAGTGTGTTAAGACATTTGTTTGAGAATATGTGCAACAAAATTTATTATAATATTAAAAATTCTAAATAACGTAAATGACCATTAAAGGGATAAAGTCAAATGAATGATGGTCCATACACAAAATGTAACCAAGAAAAATGATGATGAAGATTTTTATTTATTGGTATGATAAAAATATCCTTACCATATATTAAGGGGGAAAAAAGGTCTCAAAATATGCAGAGCATGATTTCTGTTTGGTTGTGTGTTACTTTAGGTGATATATGCATAAAAAGAGTCTGGAAGGATACATACTAAAATATTTGCGTGACTATTTCTAGATAGTGTAATTATAGGAAGATTACACTGAATCTTTACTGTTTCCAGATACATACATATATATAAACATATACATACACACATATATATACTTTTGCAATATATGTGCATTAATTTTATAATTGAAGAACATTATTTTAAAATAAATTAATTTTCTTGACAAGTTTATTTACCAAATAAGATTTTCTTCATCTTTACCTTTGTTTCTATGTCTCTCTGATCCTCTCTTTCTCTCTGTAAGGTCATAAATATCTACATCTGTCTTCATGGTCATCTTCCCCCTGGCTAGGAACACTTAAGCTCAATTTACTTAATTGTTCCTAAATGCCTGAATAGTGTTGCAAGAAGCTTGGCAAGAAAGTAGTTTTTGACATGCTGAATAATAATCACGATTATGGAATTACGCATCTAACTGAAGCCTCGTAAGTATATTAAATGAGGAGAAGAAGTCACTAAAGGCCGTGAGGTATTGTAAAGACACAGGAAGGAAAGAGAAAGGTGGTCTGAATAGGGGTATAATAGAACTGAGCAATCAGGGTGGGAAAGAGACCCTTAGAACTCAACAATGATTGTGTAAAACTGCAATCATTATAGCCTGCATCAGAAAACGAGGAGAATCCTATTTGCCAGAGAGCATTAAGTATCAACTGTGCAGGGACCAATTAAATTCTATACAAAGACAAATGTAAATTCAAGCCATAAACTGGGTACATGTACAAGAAAAGCATCCTGCACAGTTCTGAAGACATAGCTGAAATAAAAATTCTGGAGGAAGAAAACATAAAAATACATTTTCCTAAAATTTAAAAATATGAATGATAAGCCAGATGTAAGTGATAAAATAGATGTGAATAATTCTTACCCAGAGAGCAACAGCAAAAAAAAAAAAAAGCAAGGGAATCTGTACATACTCTCATTTTAAGCTTTTAAAAAATACAATAATTATAACAATATTATGTTGTTATATAATATTTATACGAGCAAAAGTCACTTATAGTTTACTACTATATCCTCAGTGAATAGAATATTGTTGGAAACATAGCAAATATTCAATAAATGTTTATTATTTTTTATTAATTTAGAAGGAAATTATGTACTTGATTGAGACAAATAGTGAAATCAGAGAAATCAAAAATAATGATTCTGGTCAAATACATTAAACTATTCACAATATAAATATTAAATGTGAATAACTGAGAAGCCATTTACATTTTATGCTGAAAAGCAATAATCTTGGAGGGCCTTCCCATGTCCAGCACTCTATAATATTGGGCAGAAGACAGCTGAAAAGACTGGGATTGGAAACCAAGCATTGGTCACTCAACATTGTGACCTTGAATGAGAAAATTATTTGACCTCTTGTTATTGAGACTTCTTATATGAAGTTTTGATATTCAAACCAAATTTATATTATAACTTGCTAAACTTCTAAATGAGTAAAAGGTGGTCTGAACAGGGGTATAACCAACTGAGCAATCATGATGGAAAAGAGACCATCAGAACTCTGTTCAGAATGATGTTGGCCTTGGGTTTGTCTTAGATAGCTTTTACGATGTTAGGCTATGTTCCTTCTATCACTAGTTTTCCAGTGTTGTAAACATGAATGGTTTCTATATTGTGTCAAATGCTTTTTCTGCAACTATTGAGACAATCATGGGGTTCTTGTCTTTAAGTCTATTTATGTGATATATTTATTGATTTCCATATGTTGAACCACCCTTGCATCCCTGGGATAAAGCCCACTTGACCATGGTACACTATCTTTTTAATGTGTTTTTGTATGTGATTTACCAATATTTTATTAAGAATTTTTGTATCTATGTTCATCGAGGATATTAGTCTGAAGTTTTCTTTTGGTATTAGGGAGATACTAAATCATAGAATGATTTTTCAAGAGTTCCCTTCTTTTCCATTTTATGGAATAATTTGAAGAGGATTGGTATTAGTTCTTCTTTAAAGACCTAGTAAAATTCATCTGAGAATCCATCTGGTCCTGGACTTTTCTTTGTTTGTAGGGTTTTGATATATGACAAACCCAA